TGTCTGCCAGGGTCTAGAATGCTTCTGACCAAGGCCTGGAACCTCTAAAAATGTCTGAGAGACATTTTGAGTTCCCACACCATCAGCTTTCCTAAAGCTGCCATCTTCAGGCACAATCAGTGCCTTTAGAGAATTTTGAAAGACAGGTGACTGCAATAAGTGCCTAAGCTGCACTAATCCATGCACTTCTGTGTCTCACTGCATTTGCAGAAGGCTAAAGATTGTTCTTTTGCAAATTAGTGATCTAGTCATGTTAGTCACAGGTGAGCAGAGAACTTTCCACGCAGTCAGGAAGTGAAAGTGAAAGTCACTTGAAGTGACTTAAAGTGGATGGGAAGGGACTGAACAGTGACCATATTCAGCTGTCACCCTGCATTGGTTCTTGCAACATTCCACAGATCTCCTCCATGGCTTCATCATCTTAAGGAGGCTTGGATGTGCAGCCTTTGGGCAGGACGGGGGCTGGAAGCTAGAGGGTTTGGGAAGAGTTTTGCTATTACACAAAACACTCTGTGGAATGATGCCCATCTATAAATCATCTTCCCCCATTCTTCTCCTCCATGACAGAAGAAACCACCCATCATGTGGGAGAAAGTTATTTCCAGCAAGGTGGGTTTCAGAGCAGGATTGCCAAAAATCAAAGGCAGGAGAAGGTAAGGAAAATCCTGGTGAGAAGCAGGCTAGCCACAGGAAACAGGAGGGCTGTTGATCTGAAAAAGAGGAAACCAGGCAGAGAACAGAGGACAGGTGCAAGCATGCACAGTTTGGAAGAAAAATAAGCTTATCCAGTAAGTCAGAACTATTTCTGACTACAGGGAGAGCTTCTCACAGCCTCTAGAAGTAGGTGCTGGGTGTTATATCGAGAAGATCAGGCAGGATCTGGTGTGAGCAGCTGTTAACAGTGTGCAGTGGTGTGGCGCTGCTGTGGACTCTGAGGTGCTGGAGTACCAGATCTGATATAGAAGTTCTCCTTGAGGAGCCCACACTCTTTCAGGGTCACACTCTGGAACTCTCCCTTTGTGCTACTGCCCAAAGGAACACTCCTGCCTCCAGGTGGGTGCTGCTGCTGTTTCCTCCATGCCACTGCTGGATGGAGGGGAGCAGATGCAGGGAATTCACCTGCTCGAAAACTGACCTAGCCAAAACCCCCACAAAACCCAAAGCCCAAATACGGTGTTCAGCATGAGCGATTTCCAGTTCTGCTTGTGTCGGCACCAACAGAGAGCTGAGCAGGCTGCAGCATGATTTTTAACTGGCATAAGATGATCCTGAACCTCTAGCCCAAGCAGTTCTGGGAATCTAGAGCTAAAAGACTCAGGAATATTTCAACCAGTGAGGCACTGAGAGCAAAAGCTGCTAGTAAAAGTGAAAAGCAACTTAATCTATGAATATTTCTTCATGGCACTTTTTCTCAGGAGCATAAATTTGCTAAATCTTCTTCCCAACCTGAACGAAATGTACGAAATTTAATTTTGAAGTAGAACCTACTCACACAAAATTCAAAATTAAAACCTTTCAAACATTCCTCCTCCCCCCACCCAACTCCAATAAATCACAGCAAGACACATTTGGACCCTTAATCCATTCTTCACCCTTCCACATAATCCATACTGAGTCCATCAGGGGAGAGAGGAGTCTCCCTTGCACCACAGACACCAATGGAAACACAGCTGCCACCTCTTGTGTTTCCATGTCACACGTGGCACTGCCCGGAGAGAATCTGCCAGTGTGACACTCTCCTCTCCATGTCACAGTGCTTTCACCACCATGCGTGGACAGAGACTGCTCATAGGGCCCCTTTAAGGATGCTTTCTCACCCTTGCTTAAGGACCAACAGGAACAACAGTCCAGTGTCTCGTTTTGGGACTACAGTCCCCCCCATTTCCCTGGAGCCGGGGGTCCAAGAACAGAGATCGCCTTCTCTTCTTCTCTGAAGACAGAGGGCATCCTCACACCCTCTTCCGCTGATCTCTGTTCATTCCTGAACTGGTAGTTGCTGGAGGAGTCTCTTGGCTCACCATTGCATCCCCCTAAAATGCAGTCTCTCTTGGAGGAGAAGTTGGTTCAGTCTATGGTTAACAAGAAGAGTCCAGCCAACAGCCACTCGATCATCTGCCCCCAACCTTTTTTCCGTAACAGCTAAGGTCCCCGGCTGTCTCTCTTTCCTTCAAATTGAGGAGGAGCAATATTTCACAAAGCCTTCATTTCCCAGGAAAGGGTTAAAATTCCCGGACTCCCCGGACGGCTGAAATCTCGGCCCAGGACTCAGTCTCCCATCTCCCACGCTGGGCATCTTCCCCCCCCCTCCTCCTTCTCCTCTGCCAGCAAACTGCCAGGTGTCTGCAGGCTCTCTATCTCTTTTCCCTCTAGGTTGGGGGTCGGGGAACAAAGACATCTCAGACGTTTTCCACCCTTCCGTCCGCAGGAGCTGGCCCAGCTCGGTTCCAGACCCTTCCTCCCTGGCCTACCTCTGCAGGCCACATGGCTTCCCCTTCCCCACCCAGCTCATGACTGGGCAGGGGAGGTCTGTACCCTCTGATGACCAGAACCAAAGAGAGCGAGTTCTCCTGGGAATTCTGCTTTTAACCCCTCTGTGTTCTCAGAGGTGTGTCCACCTTCAATTGGTCACCCCAAGTGTCAGTATCCAAACCTGACTGGACTGACCTCTTCCTTCCAAGAAAATTCTTTTCCCGTGTCAAACCACGACAAACACCAGCAGTCAGCAATTGAGGTAAGCAAGCAAAACCCTTGGATCTTGGTAAAAATGCACAGAGGAGCACACTTCCCTTTGAAGTATACATGCCATTCCATATTTTCCATTGGTTTTACATTGCTGGAAATACGTACCTGCCTCAGCCAGTAGTTGAAATCTGCAGGTAGATAAAGGTCCTTGCTACTGTCAGCTCAATGTATCAAAACTTACATTTTTTTATTTGCTGGGAGAATGTTACCTGTAAATAAACATCTTTTGGTCAGAATTTTTGCCTCAGCAATGTATATTTGTTCAGAGTGAGACCTTTAACAAAAATATATTTCCACATTATTTTCTCCCCCTGCTGTAAGAAGAGTATTTTTCCAGCATTCTTAAAATAGAAGCAAATTTCCTGGCTACAAAGTTTTCTGCAGCAAAGGTTTTAGTCTTACTAACTGCAGTATTTTGAAACTCTTTTACATAACAATGACAGGATAAAAGGAAATGTCTCAATATTATTAATTTATGTGGCGTTACTGTAGTGAAGTTATTGTGTGAAGTTATCTCATTGTTTTGCTTAAATTTAAATATTTTTTTTTAATTAAACTTGAGTTTGGGGTTTTTCTCTGCCTGTTGGAAAATCTAAGTTATCTGTACTTTGAGTGATTTATATGAAGTGATTTTGTCAAGGCAGGGAGGCCATGGAGGTCTTTATCTGTGGGGGATGTTCAGATTCCAGGAGCAGCCTGGGACCTACCAACTCACAGACACTAGAATTTTACAACTTCTTAGAGCCCTTAGTTAAAAGAGTGGGCAAACAAGGCTTATAAATACTTACTTATTTCTATTTTTGGCCCACTCGCCTGCTTCCACCTTTTTATGCTACCATTTACTATGTATTTCCCCCTGTGGAGCTCCTCAACTCATTTCAAACATGCTTTTCTTCATACATCACAAATATTTAAACAATTTGCCATATGAGATTCCTTAATAAACAATCCATCACCAGTGCTTAGTGTTATTTTGATAAGTGAATTTCAAATAAATGGCAATATGAAAA